AGGGAAAGAAAAACAAAGGGAAAGCAAGGAGGCTGTCGGCATAAGGAGGTGCATAATATGGCACGGAGGAAAATATTGCAATTTCCTGCATAATAAAGCATTTTTTGCATGTATGTTTAGGGGATTATTCTTATTTTTAACCATGTAGGATGGTAGTTCTAGACTTGTGGTGGTGATGACATCTCATATTGATTTTTACTCTTCTTGTCATAGTCATATCATACGTACATGACTCCTTTCTTGATGTCATACTTTTGCAAACTTTAGAAATTGATGTAAGCGTATTCTGACATATGACACATAATATCAATTTAATGCATGCATTCTCCACTCGTCAATAATTAAATAAATTCTTTACCATATTGTGGATGGAAATGGAACTATGCTGACCTCTCCATGCGTGCATACAGGACTTTCAGGAATTTCCTGTCCATGCAACATTTAAATCCATAAAATAAAGAAATTGGCTGTTAACGACTTCCGATAGTACCACGACAAATTATCCCTCAACGTCTCAGATTTTTTCTTACTTGTATCTGCACTGTGACGTGGAGTTTATAAGATATAGGCAAGTGCATGTTAGAATTTCTCCTTTCACCTCAAGGCAATAAATTATGGAAGTTTCTGTACCTCCGTAAATCACTGGCAAATATTCAAATAAGGATGTGTATGAAAAAGTTGTGTAAGATGACTGAACTCATTAGTAGAGTAGAATTTGTATTGCTGATTTGATAATTGATTTAACATTGTAATCAATTGGTGTAGAGACCGTGGACCATGTCGACAAGGGCAAGCAATTCTGACTGCCTACCAACAAGAGGTATTTGTGTTTTTTTTATTTTTTATTTTATTTTCTTTTGCTTGTGTGGTATAGTTCATTTTTCATTCCAGTCTAGTTCTTGTATTTGAGTTTAGAATGTGATGATTGGCACAGGGACATGGCCATCTTTTTGCAAGAGCCTTCATACTTTCATGTTCCCTCATGATTAATCTTCTTTTCAATGACTATTTTTCTTCTTCCTACTTAACACAATCCTTGTAAATTTGGGTATGGTGCTAGGTGGGCCATACTTATGTAAAGAGAATCAAACTTCAAATCTTGCATCAGGTAACTGTTGGGGAGGGCTTCCTAGTCGCGGCAGTGCTTGAGGGATTAGTCAAACTTGTAGGAACAGGAACACCATGGTTAAAAATATATTGAAGTGGTGATACATATGTATTGTATAATATCAGTGGTATGTTATACTAATGGCATTGGAACCTAAACATTCCATTTTTTTTTTCATTATTGTTCTTCATTAATAAAGGAAAAAAGAGCTTTTTCCTTATCAGGTTTCTGGTGATCATGGAAGTGATAATGAAAAGGTCAAGTAATCATGGAAGTGATCTTGATATGCAAATTATGGTGTTTTAGACACAGTTCTAGAGATGCAAATCGGCTAATAAACAAATATGCTTTGAACCTATAGTAGTATTTTGGCAAATTTGAAATTAAAATATTTTATGATGACAGTGATTGCATGTTAGTCCAAATTCATGTCCTCTAAAATTGTGGACAGTAGGTTTTGCTTGTCTATCAACCAGCTCTAGTTTCCCTTCCCTCTACAATGTGTTGTACAGTGAGGTAAACATTAAACAAAAAGCTTGAAACGATCTTGTTGGGGTTTCATCCTTGTTTATATTTGTGCAACAGGCTAAAAAGTGGGGGGAAAGTTGAGACATTTTTTTATACGCCTAAAAGAGATTAGAGAGAGATGTGAGTACCAAAAATTGATGTAAAAATTTGGATCTTTTTAAAATATAACCTTTTTTTGTATGATCTCTTTAAAATATAACTTATCACACACTTGCTAGTAATTTAGATGTTTATAATTTTTTTTATACACTCCATTGTGCTACTAATTGATTGGAATGTTTCCTTTTCTTTAAGCTCTACTAATTAAAGCCACCGGAATTTCCCAACTTAACAATATTTTCCTTTCATACTTTGGGCATGGGGAAACCAAATTTTGGCACCATTGAGGTGAGAAAAAAAGCAAAGAAACAGGCACACCGTTGGTAAAGCTATTATATGATAATTTTGTTTCAGGATAAAAAAGAAGAAAGATTCCAGTGATAATGATGCAAATATAGCGTTCAAATGCTTAATTATTTAGATATGACATGTTTTGCTTTTAAATAGGCAGACAAGGGAGTTACCTTTATTTTATTATTTTGTTATTTTGTTCGTAACTACTTCAGCTAATGTGGATGTATATAAAGTAGGTTGAGTTTGTTTTAAGGAAAGTTGCTATTTTTTTTTATTTTTTTTTTGGTTTGGAGTGGAAAGTTTCGGCTATCTCGTGTTTGATACAACATACTGTTTTTCTATTCGATTATAACCAATCCATTAAATGTGAGGAAATGGTTATATCAAATTTTATTTGAAAACGTACCATTTCTTACAAAATTATTGGTGAAAGTTATTTTTTCTTTTAAAAATAACCTTAAAAAATACTTTCAACGATATTATTTTGTTATTCTCTCTCTCTCTCTCTCTCTCTCTCTCTCTCTCTCTCTCTCTCCCTCTCCCTCTCCCTCTCCCTCTCCCTCTCCCTCTCCCTCTCCCTCCTCTTAAAATAGGGATATATGGTCACTAGACTGAAGAATCCCTGTGTAAATTAAAAATAAATTTTTTTCTATACTATCATTCATTGACATTTGATATTGAGAAAAAAAAGGATGATTGAAAATAAAATCTTAATTAAATGAAGAAAACCTTGGAGATGATATCACTGGACAAAATGAAATAAATCAGTATTTACTTATATTTTAGTCTACCATATATGATAAATTAGATGTTGATCCCTGTTAAAAAAATGTATATATTTTATTTTAAAGAGATTAAAATTATATTTAATAAACGTTAAAAAATTGAACTAGCAAATGTATAATAATTATATATAAGATACATACATATGTTTGTTGTGATTTTAATTTTTGTGTCTATTGTATCATTAAGGAAAAATTGTATTATACTTTTATTTTAGATTTACACTGATTTTGAAATCAACTCAATTATAAGATGCACAAAGGATAATCAAAATTAAAAATATGAAAATAATAAACAAAGTTACAAATAAAAAATAAGCGACGAATATATAATATTAAAAATAATGTCTTGAAATTTAATAACTAAAAAATACATATTAATTTTCACTTTGTAGTTGTACAATTTTATTTCCAAATCAATTTATAGATAATTCAACTAAAAAAAATAAACTACATGATTTTTATAATATAAGATTCTTCTGTTTATTCATTAAATATATTTAATTCAAATTATTACATATTTTGTATATGAAACTTGATGATCTTTTCTAAATTAACCTATAAAATAAAAGTAAAAAATAAAATTTAAATTTGAAAAATTATAATAAAATATAATTTTAGCCATCAATTTACTTTTAATTATTTTTTAAAAATCAAACTCATTTCACAAACGTAATTATATAATAAATGACTTTAATTATAATCAGGGTTGACCTAAGCATAAGGTTGTCCAAGCCTTAATTTTAGGCCTTCAAAATATTTTTTTTTACTTATAGAACTTAATGAATCAGTTATATCAATACTAACTTTGATTTATTGGTCCTAAGCCTAGCATTGTAAGGATTATGGTTCGATTTTAATATTATAATTTTTTTGCTAAAAATTTCCTTTTTTCTCATCTTTGATTTTCTTGTCACTTTTTTCTCGCCTCAAAAATATGTTGGGCCATTATAATAAAACTTTTTGACTTTTATTTTTAAATTTAAAATGAAAGATTACGGTTAACTTTTTTGTCATAGTAACCAATAAATATCATATTAGCTCTTTTGTCATAATAAATAAATAAATAATATAATATATTAGACATGATAATGTTTTAATATATATTTATTTTATTTATAATAAGTAATAATTACATACTATTAATTATTTTCTAACTGAAAGTTTAATTTAATTCAATTCCTTAATTACACATTAATGTAATTATTAATATATATATATATATATATATATATATATATA